TATATATATATATATTTTTTTTATAAACTTTATTAGAAAAAGTTTTATAATACATAAAGAAGTACAATTTTCAGTGAACAATCACCAGGGGTTTGAGCAAAAGAAAAAATAAAGTAAAATAAAAAGTAATTAAATAAAAGTAAAAATAGCAATAGGGTTAGGGATTACATAAATACTTTAAATTTAGAGCATAAAGTTATAGTTTTAGCAGCCTTTTTATTATTGGAGGAGGACAATGTAGAAAAATAAGTAGTTGCTTCCTTTAAAAAAGAAATTCATGAGGGCTTAGTCACAATAATTTTACATTTGAGGATATAAAACGTGGCCAACAGTAACAAAAGATTACATAAGAAGAAATGTTCAGAAAGGTATTTTTTATATTTTGTGATTCCAAATAAAACATCTTTAAAATAAGGGTCAAATTTATCATATTTTCTGTTAGTTCTTTATGGATGTTTACATGACTACGTAATGACGTCACGGCGTAGACTTGGTATCCCAGCATGCAGCAGGAGGCCGTTCAGAGATCCCGCAGCTGGTAGTTGGAAGAGCGCCGAAGCGAGCAGGAGCGAACGGCCAGTAGAACTCAGACATTTCTTCCTCCATGTGAGATAAACTGAGCCGTCCACCTCGCAGGCAACAGAAAATATGCTGTTCGGGCGCCCGATGTGTTCCGCGAGCGAATTTTGAGTCTTCACCGTGAGCCTGCTCTCATTTTGGAGGATTCCTCCCTCCATCCTCCGGATCGCAGCAAACAGGCAATGACAACGGTCTCAGCAACCCCGCAGCAGATGAAGGACCGGCTGCTGCAGGCCATTGACAGTCAGAGCAATGTGAGGAATGCTAATGCTAGCTTTAGCTTGTTTATCTAGACTGTGGCTAACGCGAGATGGCAGTTCGCCGAGTGGCTTTTATAGGATTGACTTATCTTTTTTTAAAGAGAAAATGTTCAACACTGTACCCCAAACCGACTGCTCTATTGTTTCAGACAAAACGACACGAGCGTCTGAGTTGACAGCTAGCTTTCGAGCTAATTTAGCTGCAGCGCTGCCTTGATTAGACATCTCCCGTTACATACCGCTAGCATGCTAGCTGCTAGCATAGCCTTGATATCACGGCAACTTTGGAACATACAGCGGCGAGAAGCGTCACAATCCGCTCATTTTACTTAAATCTAAGTTGGAAGTCCTGCAACAGATCCGGGATATCGTGTGAGCTGCAGATTCTGGACTTCGGCAGGTCTAAACTGGAAATTAGCTTAAATGCTAAAGCCAGGTTTTAGGAAATAGTCGGGTCCTTCCTCCTTAACTAAGTTGAGTGCTAGCCGTAGCCTGTTCGCCTAACACAGGTATGTCTACCAGCTCATGGAAACAAAGTCCATTCAAAGCTTATAATCTTTTTCCTCTCGTATAGAGTCACGTGCTAAACACTTTTATACAGGTTTATTTTCAAAAAGGGCAGGATTTTGGAGCTGTCACTTCTGTGTCACCACCTTTGCTATGCAGCTTCGCTCTGCCTCTGAGGCATAAAGCTGAGATAAATATGATCCTTTCTTACTTTTGCAACTACACACAACCTGGAGGGATAAAGGATGGTCCAAATATTTATTGTTTTCTGTTGCTGAAAGGTTTACAGTAATGGGTTTTGTTATTGCTGGGATTAGTAACACTAACTATGTGTTCTCCAATCAACCTTTCTTAGAGGTTAGTGACCAAATATAAGTTGATCTGTTAGTAAGATTTTAGTTTGCTTAAGATCGTAAAGTCGTAAAGCAGAGTTAAATGCAGCGCTACTTTTAGATGTCAGGTGACAGCAGAAAGTAAAGTTGCTTTAAATTGTCACAGAAACAACCCCTGGGTAATGGAATTTACATTTTCATTGACTTTCTCATCTTAAGGGCTGTGGATGCTCCCACAGCAGTGTGTCGCAGTTAGCTTGTCACAGGTATGATGCAGATATTTTTGATTTATGCCAAATATTGAAGAATGGTCTGCAATATGTTATTCAACGCTATAATGCAAGAGGGACGATCACCAACTAGCTAGGATTGTGGGTGTTTGTGTGTCGGTTTGACAACCTTCCTCATCCAACGCCGGACGACACACAAGCTACGTTTACATGGACACAACTAATCGGATTGAAGGCCTGATCAGATCAAAAATGTTT